GCCACGGAGAGGGGAAAAGATTCCTGAGTTTAGTCGGCGTAGCGAATCAACACTAAGACCCAGAGTAGACAGCGAAGGGTGGGCGGGCGCCGATCCGCTGGGCGGAAGATGATCGAAGTCTAGGCGCCAAGCTTCACGATGATGCCTTTAGTGGCGCTACCAATGCAGCGGCGGACCCAGCACTTCTACTTACTAATGGGACTTCTTAAGTAAAGCTAAGCCCGTCCCTTGTCTTGGTTAGCAGCAAAAGTCATGTCACATGAGTGGGTGACACAGAAACATGAGATGTTGAATCTTTTGGCAGAAGCCGTCGTTATCTCTTGTAATCTATAAAGTCCATGGCGTTACGTGGTTGCGGCTAGGAAAAAATCGAAACCCAAGTTACCGCTTTGGTGTTACGGATTGTCTTACGCAAAGTCTGTGTGACTACTAGTCTGCATTTCTTGCTCACCTGGGTACTGGGGCAACGTTTATTTACCTAATGTACTATCAAAAATTTAGCTCAACAAATTGGACTTGATATGGTAAAGGAGCGAATACAGTATACGAAACAGCAAATCGACATTTGTCGTCGAGATCAGCAAATGATAGCAGACTTTGTAGCAGATGCTTTTGTTGAGGAGTTGAATGCGGTTAGTTTTAAAGCTTAATCAGAATCGTTTGTTGTGCTGTAGCCATGTCTATAAAAATCTCGATTGCCTGGAAGGTGTTGATCTTAAAGGTTTTTGTTGTGAATAGTAGCTTTTGCCGTTTCAATGCCTTAGTCCTTTCAGAATCGTAATAAGTCGAATTTCTATGATCTTGTAGAAGATGTCGAACGTCTTCAGAAAGAAGTGGATGAGCTTCGGAAGTTGTCACCAAGATCAGTGCCACCTCCAAGTTAGTATCGTAATACTTTCCCATAAACAGCGTTTTTCTCGTAAAACTGAACTATTTAAAGGACCTGCTCCTCCACATCAGAATCTGAAATGGCATTGTATACGATGTCTCGAAGCAAACAGCACGTCATCATATCGATGTCAATGTTCATTTCCTCGTATGGCAATTGATCCACGAGAAGCTGCCAGATGCAACTGTATACATTGCAGCCAAGTAGCAGGTAATAGTCACTACCCCGACCAAGCACCAAAAGTCATCCTCTCGAAACCTGCGCTGCTTCAATAGGCTGCATTTCAGCTAATCGAGTTATCGCTTCTCCTACTCCTGGAGATGGCGATTGGCTATTGGTCAACAGATTACACATGAATGGATCTGCAGCTTCCTAACTCAGCAATACTGCTCTTCAGGTTGATTTTCGTCCTTGGATCCCTTTCTTTTCAATCTTAAGCTGTAATTCTGTTAAGGTTGTCACCATACAAAATGTATGCGATATTGAATTTCAGCTTGCCATTCGCTTCGAATCAGAAGCGCCATTGTGTTTTTGACATGGTTTTGATTTGTTTCGTTCCATTTTTGCCTGCGGTTGGCTACGCGAAACATATCACAAGAGTGCTGAGTTATGAGAGAACGTCTTGCCTTTGGCAGTATGAAACCCCGTGCTTCTTAATTTCAAAGCACTTGCGCTACCGATTTGTATAACTTTATGAGCCAGTTAGTCAGTATCGGTCTTGAATCGCGAAACTAGCAATTATACACTCTTTGATGTATTGGTTGTTGATATCTCAACTCTTTATTTGTTTTGTTGGTAATGTTACAGTTTTGACTTATTTTTGAATTGTTCACTGTTGGTCTTGGCCGCAGTTCTTCAACTTAGGCATGGCCAACTGGGATCAGAAGCGACAAAAAATCAAGTTAAGTCCAAAATCATGAAAACTGTTGGAGCTAGCTTCATGTTCGGTGCCGGTGTTATCTAGCAGGCTAATCATGTTATACATGTGATTGCGGACAATTCGGACCATCGGACGCAGTACTATGATTGTGATTGGTAAAGAAGAAAAGATGACATGTGATTGGTAAAG